TAGGATGTATCGGAGCGGCATCCAATGGCGGCGACCATATCCGGGTTGAGAAGGACAGTCGGGAGGGGTTTGGGGCCGGTGGCGGCGGCGATGTGGGTTATGGAAGACGGTGGAGCCAGGGAAAGGGGTGACATGAACGTGGAAAAAGATATGAGAGGAAGATGGCAGGTAGGAATAGGTTGTGGATGATTTAGAAAGAACTGAGATCCGTGTGACTGATCGGACTGTTGGCTTTTGAGGCAGCGGGGTCCGGTTGCAGATGCTCTCAGGCCTTGTACAATAAGATGTGCTTAGAAAAATAAATCGGGCTTTCCTTAAGCACCGATGCTTATTTATACATGGTAGATGCTTAACTAAGCGTCTCTTTTATAAAAATAGGTATCGATACTTCAAAAAAACTCGGTTTATTTTTTTAAGCACCTCTCCAAACACCTCCCATTATACAAGGCCTGAGAGCATCTGCAACCGAGTTTTTTACATCTTATCTTAAATTGGTTAATGCAGTGGGAAACTCTTTACACGGTTCACTGGTACCAACAGTCAGCCCATCAATTCTGTCTTGCGCTGCGATATTTCAGTTTCACCAACTTTGGTATCAAACAGCTTAAGGAGAACCAGTTCGCTTCACTTGGCAAATAATAATCGAACCAAAAGCTTTCATGTATGTCATGCTGGGGTTGATCCTTCAGAACGTATTGTTATAAATGGTCAGGCCAGTCCATCTAAAACTGTTCAAGCTGCTGCTGCTGCATTGGGGACCATAGCTGCTGACATGGCTCCTGTCGTCGATGGGTTTTCAGCTGATGATGATGAACTTGACCTAGATTTGCCTACAGAGGGTTTCTCATCTATACCTGAAGCTATTGAAGATATTCGCCAAGGAAAAGTATGTCATGTTACCAAAGTTATGTTTTCTGTTTATTTATTTTGCATCATTTGCTCTGTAATCCTAACTGATTCATTTTGCAGTATGTGATTGTTGTGGATGATGAAGACAGGGAGAACGAAGGAGATCTTATAATGGCAGCATCCACGGTAACACCAGAGGCTATGGCTTTCATAGTGAGGCATGGCACTGGGATTGTATGTGTCAGCATGAAGGAAGATGACCTGGAAAGACTACAACTTCCTCTTATGGTAGTGGCAAAGGAAAATGAAGAGAAGCTGCGGACAGCCTTTACTGTTTCAGTGGTATGATGTCCGATTTTCTAGTCAGAATTCTGGTCTATGAGCATATTGTATTTTCTCCTTTTTCATATGGGCATATTTTACTTTCTCCTCTTGCCTGTTTCTCCAACTGACTCTGCTTAAAAAATGTATTTTAGGACGCTAAAGAGGGCACAACAACAGGGGTTTCAGCCAAGGATCGGGCAAACACAGTTCTAGCACTTGCATCTCCTTATTCTAAGCCTGAGGACTTCAACCGTCCTGGACATATCTTTCCTCTTAAATATAGAGAAGGTGGTGTCCTCAAAAGGGCTGGGCATACTGAAGCATCAGTAGACCTTGCCATGTTGGCTGGGTTACCTCCTGCTGCAGTTCTTTGTGAAATTGTTGACGATGATGATGGTTCCATGGCTTTGTTGCCAAAGCTGAAAGAATTTGCAGAGAGGGAGAACCTGAAGATAGTCTCAATTGCAGACTTGATTAGGTTTGTTATTTGCTAATATACCCAAGTGTCAGTTCGTTCATACAAGTTAAGAATTTAATTATGATGCACTGAACGGTAATAGTTTCATGCCGGATGGCAACTAGAGAACAATTACGAATATGAAAGCTACAGTTTGATGAATTCTTACTTGAATGCATACTTTTGTGTAATATTTTACTGGACCATCAGTTGCTTATAAGAAATTATTTGCATATACAGATATAGGAGAAAGAGAGACAGACTGGTAGAACGTCTTTGTGTCACACCATTACAATTACAGTGGGGGTCATTTGAATCCTATTGCTACCGATCTCTTATTGATGGGATGGAGCACATTGCAATGATCAAGGTAAGCATCCCTGAGCAAATATAGGTAGTCACTTGCAAGTTTGCAGTTGGACTCAACAATGGGATATTTTTTGTTCTAGTACATACATCTGTAATAAAATTCTTGAACAAAACTAAATTCAGCAAGACATTTTTTTTGCCATTTACATCCATCAGTCTGGCCAAAAAACCTCAACCAGTTGTACAGCCTATACTGCAAGATCATGGTGAAGCAGCAATGTATTGTGGGAATGAAACCTTCTTAAATAATGAATGCTGCTAAGTCTTTCTTTTCATCTAGGCTTATTTTTTGAAGAAACCACGAAAGCACAGGAGCTCTGCATTTCACAGTAGAAGTAGAATTCCCCAGTTAGTTAGGGAAAACCAGGCAAAAACCATTTATATGCAGGGCAATAATAAATTGTTTTCCTTTATATGCAGGGTGATGTTGGGGATGGCCAGGATATTCTAGTGAGAGTCCATTCAGAGTGCCTAACTGGAGATATATTTGGATCGGCGAGGTGTGATTGTGGGGGCCAACTTGCCCTGGCGATGACCATGATCGAGAAGGCTGGTCGGGGTGTGGTGGTTTACCTACGTGGCCACGAAGGCAGGGGCATTGGGCTGGGTCACAAGCTCCGGGCATACAATTTACAGGATGCTGGACGGGATACTGTTGAGGCTAATGAGGATCTTGGGTTGCCTGCCGACTCCCGGGAGTACGGTATAGGCGCGCAGGTAAAGACCATTCCACTGGAATTGGCTTGTATTACAACTCCTGAGCTATCCACCTTTGCTGATATCTATTTCCGCTATGCAGATACTACGTGATCTTGGCGTCCGAACCATGAGGCTGATGACTAACAACCCGGCGAAGTACACTGGACTCAAGGGCTACGGTTTAAGTGTCCTGGGAAGAGTGCCGCTGTTGACACCAATAACTAATGAGAATCGGCGTTACATGGAAACAAAGAGGTTGAAGATGGGGCACATCTACGAAGACCCTCCTAATGGCCATACAAGTGGCATGAGTGACGAGGAGCAATATCAGGAGGATAGTGGCAGCGAACAAGATTAGACCCTAGAGCCTTAATAAATGTCTTCATGTTTCTCCCGGCAATAAAAATAAAACCCTCAAATTTGTTATGAGCACTTCTTTCTCCAATTTTGATTATACATATGTAGTTACTATTTGTAGATGATGTATATTAGTCTGGTCTGAGCATGTGCCATGTGCAAAAATATATTCTCATGTACTCCCTCCACCTTGGTTTGTAAGGTTTGCATGCATTTCAGTAAAAACTTTGATCCTTTTCAATAAGAAGCTTTGATCATTAATTTGGTCAGTGTCCTGCACCTCTTTGAATTGTTTTTTTTATCAAAGTGTACTTAAATGAGTTTGTGAGCCAGAGTGTTGAGCTGGTAATTTGAATTGGTTAAAGTTGTGTCCAAGGACACAATCTTGTACTCTCTTTTTTGTGCATACCTGAGCTCAGTTTCATCTGTGAAAAGTGAGTGATATGAGGGCACAGACGGCACCTCCTGTTAAATCTCAAGGCATGTCATGCCAAAACTAGTTGGGTGTCAAATTTAACCATGCTTTGCCAAAATTTGACCCTTGCTACTACGTCTACTCATGCAATAGAGATGAGCAATCCACTATTGAAAGAAATGTCACATTCATGGGAGATTATACTCCCTCCGGTCCTTTTTACTCCGCGTATTAGATTTCTGTCAAGTCAAACTTTACAAAGTTTGACTACATTTATATTTAAAAATATCAACATCTACAATATCAAATATATATACTTACTTACTTACTTACGAAGCCTTTTATCCCAAACAAGTTGGGGTAGGCTAGATATGAAACCCTTTCACGAGGACTTCCCAGGAGGTCACCCATCCTAGTACTACTCTTGCCCAAATGGGTTTCATACCCAAAAGACTGGCTAGTTTTTACGTTGGCTCGCCAAGCCTATCACAACCCTTAGATATGAAACCCTTTCACGAGGACTTCCTAGGAGGTCACCCATCCTAGTACTATTCTCGCTCAAATGGGTTTCATACCTATGGGACTATCAAATATATATACCATGATACTATATTTCATGATGAATCTAATAATATTGATTTGACATTGTGAATGTTAATACCTCTTTTCTATAAATTTGGTCAAAGTAGAGATACTTTGACTTCAGACAAAACTTATATGCAGACTAAAAAGGACCGGAGGGAGTAACAAACATTAGGTACTGACACTGCTGGTTTTTATCTTTGGTTGACAGTTGCCGGCCCAAGTTATTTGGCAGTGGAAAGTGGGAATTCCACAGTTGATGCAATAGTCAAAACACTTGGAAAGTGGGAATTCCACAGTTGATGTGATAATACCTATCGTCAGCATGATCCAAAGCTAGATATATAGATTGTTGTCTTTGTTTGTATAGCCTCTTACTTTTGTGATACTGGACTGCAGCCAAGTGCCTCTTCGGAGTATGGACCATAAACTAGTGTTTGCCTTCTCTTGCCTGGCCGTGAAACTGCTGAACCTGTCCCTCTTACCAGAGCTGTAAACCTGCCCCTCTTTGCTGGTTGGACTAGTGAAAACTGAATCTGCGCTACTACTTACTCCCTCCGTCCGGAAATGCTTGTCATCAAAATGAACAAAAAGGCGGAAGGGAGTACTTGACTCATGGTACCACTGCCGCATTTGCTTTCAAAAAACTGGAGGGGAAATGTCCAAGTGTCGCTACCGAATGCTGCATCCCCCATGAACCTTCAAGTTCTTCCTTTTGCACATACAAGCCAGACATTCCAAATGCGAGTGAAATCAAGAGTCAAGGAAACATGTCGGTGACACTAATTTTGGGGATGCCGAGAAGGTATATATCTGTTGCAACATTTGGTCCATATGTTGTCTGCTGCCACGGCTCTGATGGCTGAATGTAAGAAAAAAAAAACATTCTGTCACAACATTTGTGCCCACACGGCACTGATGAAAGTTCATGGAATAAAATTGCTATGTCTATGTGTTCGATGATCCGATTACGATATGCTGTCGGTGCCGCGGATACAGGAACCAGTCGCTCCCCAGCTTCCTGCCAGGTTTACCACACTGATCCCCCGAAAGACCGCCTATGAGTGGTGCAGCGCTGGCAAAACGCCTGTTGTGGTGGGCGTACTCCAGCCCACGGTACAGCTCTTCGAGATCAGCTCCCCTCGTCTCATGCGCCTCCTCCAATACCTGCCTGCTGATGTTGTATCTTTTAGCGCCAAAGCATGTTTGGCGTAAGACCCGAGTGGCGAAGCTCTGCAGCTCAGGCGTGTCTGTCCCATGCGCCGACCACCAAACAACTGTAACTGAAGAAATGGTCAAAACTTAATTCCCTTATTTTAATACAAATGAAGCATGGATTTCTTCGTATTCTACAAGTCAAAGTGTAAATAAGTACGAGGGAATAGGCTCTACTTTACCTTGTGGTGTCTCCACTATTTGCTGAATTGCTGAATCTGAACCAAAAGAACCTGATCTTCCTTTATATACTTCAATTTGTGCTTTCAGTCTCCCTGGATCATAATGGCCTTTTGCAATTGCGGTTGTGCAGGCCTCAATACGACCGCTGAGCTCAGGATCATCACAGGAAGGATCTTTGTAAAAGACCCTTGGGTTTAGCATATGACCAGCAGCATGGAGTGGGGAATGCAAGTAACCATACCATATCTCGTCAACCCAATGCAAAATATCACCATATTTATCTCCAAGATTGTGCATTATGTCTTTTGCACTTGCCATGGTGTCATACAAGATACCCATTGGACAGTCCTCAGATTCTAGTTTAAGCAACACATCAATAAATGGTTTTGTAATCTTCAAAACATCAGCAGCAGCACACCAAAATGCACCATCTGTCTTTACTATGCCACAGATATGCCTGAACAAACTTGTAGTAGTAGAGAAACCAGAGGAAATCCAATCAAGTGGGTTAAACATTCTAGTAGACCGATCAGAGGAAACCCATTCAGGTGAGCTAAACATCTCAACTAGATTTTCTTTCACAGAAACTAACCTATCTAATGTGATGAACTCTGCAACAGATTTCAAACAAGAATTGCTCAGGATCTCACCGTCATCAATATACCGCCCTACCAGTTCATATGCCAGCACATTGCCATATATAAACCTTGTTATTTCCTTTGCCTTCCTTAGAACCTCACTGACGTGATCAAATGCTGCAATTTTCTCAAGCAGAAGGTTGATGCAAAAGTCAGCACACGGTGGGACGAAGAATGAATGGTCATGTTCCTTTTGCACATAATGCCATGCCATTCGCATATGTGGTGACGCATCATTTCTGATAACTTGAACTATGTTGCAGGCACCAACATCATCAACCACACGAGAAAACACTGAAGCTAGCTCATCCATGTCCTCGAGAATTCCAGAGACATCGATCGACCTGAGGAAATACATACCTTTGCTGCAATGCACCAAAACACTTATGAAGCTTTTTGTACCACATCGGCTCTTCCAACTATCCATAATAATACTGCAACCACTTTTTTTCCATTCTTGCTTGAGTTGCATTGCCCGGTGCTGAGTTTCTTTTAGTTCCTCCCGTAGCATGGATTCATACGTAGGAATTTCAACATCCCTATTGTGAACAGTTTGAAGCATCTCCTTGAAAGATGTCAAGTAGACAAAACGAGGCCCAAGTCCAACTTCAAAGATGAAATTGCGCATTGCTTTTTCTGCCCAAGAATCGAACTGAACATCTGCCTCCATTAAGGGTTTCGATTGTTCTAGCTGTGATGCAGAAGACATGTCCATAGAGGAACTCAAGTGAACTCGCTCCCCAGAAGATGTTTTCGGTCTCTTGTTCATCGCACAAGGATTTTAATAGTGCAGACAAGTGCCTTCTAAAGTCTGACCTCCCTGCAATAATTAACAATTCATTATTCCTGCACTCATGTATCCAAAGTGTTATTCTCACAAGTTACTACTATTTATTATTCCTGCACTCATGTATCCAAAGTGTTATTCTCACAAATTACTGGAGCACATTTACCAATAGCCGACAGATAAAGATATGAGCTTTCATGAATAAAAAGTTTATTGTCGCCATGGGCAACAAAACTTTTAGCAACAATATGATGGATGAACAGTAATGTATGGGAAGACATTTTTGAAGGGTTGCCCATCCTCACCATGCCACTTTAAAGCAGCACGTAGTTGAACTGATAGATGGACATAATTCTTCCAATATAAGTACAACGATGACAATTTTGGTAAATATCGACCGAGCAATTCAGTATTATTTACAGACTAATGATACTCTATAATGGAAAATGACTACATCTTGACATTTCTACATTGGCGGTAGGCTCTTGAATTCACTAAAGGGAATGGGTAACCATGGTGGTGCTAGGTCTCAAACCGGAGTCAACCAGGAAATTCAACAGCCCTTGTACCATTAGGCCATTATCTTGTCCACCTCAACTCTAGTTTCTACGGTGATAATATCCCTGCAAAACTAGCCACCCGCAGCAGAATTACCTTTTTGGTGCAAAAGTTAGTTCCCACAAAACCATATCTCTACTCCTAATGGACGAGTTGGTTGAATAGTCCCCACCACTTTCGTCTGGTTTTTTTCGTCCGGTTTATTTCCTCCCACCTCCCACCACCCCCTCCCATGGTTTTTCTTATCAATTGGTTTATTTTTACTCCACTATTTTTTTCTTTAAAAAATCAGCACTTTCCAAACATACAAAAGATCACGGATCTAACTTTCCTAACTTATCCAAATCAACCGATCTATCTCATTAATGCAATTTGCTTTAGGAAACAAATAATAGATTATCAGGAAACAAATAATAGATTTTCAGGAAACAAATAAAAGTTTTTTAGGAAACAAATAATAGATTTTCCAAACAAACAAGTAAATCATGACAAAAAAATCTTATTGTGGAGTCGTGATTGGTCCGTTCGGTTGTTGTTTCGTTCGTTCGTTTCGTGTGGTTCTCTTCCCCGTCGCTCGTCCCACATAGCCGCACATGGGCCAAGTCCAGCAAAGCCCACAACACACACACGCAATACATCCCTCTACCTTAACTGGCTAGGTAGGGTTAGCGCGAGCGCCGCCTCTAATCCCATCCTGCCCCTCGTCTCATCAGCCGCCGCTCGCCATCCTTGGCACCACCTCGCCGTTGCGCTCGCCCACGCGTGCTCGTCCAACAGCCGCTGCAGCCCCTCTACGCCGCCCCAATGACCTCCTCCGCGGCCCTTCCCACGCCGACCATGGGCTGCCTCCATCGTCGTCATCCGGATCCGTTACCTTGACGACCGACCCCTCCCCTTCCTCCTTCGCCCCCTGGCTGCTCTGCCGCCGCCTGAGACGGTGGTTCTTTGGCTGAAGCTCGGCGAAAGAGAAGTGTCATGGAGGGAGGGGACCGTCGACAACCAGTTCCTCAGCCGCAAGAGCACGCGTAAAGTGACGCATCTACCACAAGGAGATGCCCTTCAAAGAGACCAATGTTTTAAATAGCGGACTATGGAAAATAGCAGCGGGCCTCCAAATCAGCTATAGCGGGCTAAAGCGGGCTATTTATGAAGACGCCCATTTTAGCGGCACCTTGCTGAAAAGGCTATAGCAGAGCTATAGCCGGCTATTTAAAACTATGAAGAGGATTGCAGCGACGACGAGAGCGGGCCACGGGAATCCATCCGGGGGACGGCAGCGAGGGGACCAGCGCGGCAAGGGCGGCTGCTCTTCCTCTACCCGTGGCCATGAACACAGCCACAAACCACCGCTGAGCTCTGGTTCGATATGTATGATTTGGGGGTTGTTGATGCTTGTGGTCAATTTATTGTGGTAGATTTTGAGATTATTAGATATTTGGGAGTTCCCATTCTATGACCAGTCTCGGAAAATATTGTTGCAGGGTAGTATAATCAACAGGCAACTGGGAGGATCAGATATGGAATTCATTTATACGAAACAAAAATCCTAAGGCAGTAAGGCTCCTCTTTATTTTGTGTCTAATAACAGAAGTATTTATTTTTTATCTGAGGTTTTGTAGAGTTGTAAGAATCATTGTCCATAATAGAAAGCTTAAGCACACTGCTCTCGTGTGTACTAACATAGAGTATGCTTAGCTTCCATGATCATAATCTTGTATGTAGGAAACTTATGAGACTGCTTGTCTACGCTTGATGTTGTCAAAGGAAACATTGCTTCTGCATGTCTAATAAGATCACCGAAGAAAAGGAAACTGCAGTTTGAAGGATATGCTGGTGAAGATACTGAGGAGCATAAGGTTACAGAAAATCTGTCTCGTATGTACTAAAAACAAGGTTTGAGTACCGAGCTTTGGGATGTTAGAGAAGAATTTCAGATATCAACACTAAGCTCAGAAAGGTGTTGGAAATATGCCCTAGAGGCAATAATAAAATGATTATTATTATATTTCCTTGTTCATGATAATTGTCTATTATTCATGCTATAATTGTGTTATCCGGAAATCATAATACATGTGTGAATACATAGACCATAACATGTCTCTAGTGAGCCTCTAGTTAACTAGCTTGTTGATCAATAGATAGTCATGGTTTCCTGACTATGGACATTGGATGTCATTGATAACGGGATCACATCATTAGGAGAATGATGTGATGGACAAGACCCAATCCTAAGCATAGCACAAGATCGTGTAATTGGTTTGCTAGAGCTTTTCCAATGTCAAGTATCATTTCCTTAGACCATGAGATCGTGTAACTCCCGGATACCGTAGGAGTGCATTGGGTGTACCAAACGTCACAACGTAACTGGGCGACTATAAAGGTATACTACAGGTATCCCCGAAAGTATCTGTTGGGTTGACACGGATCGAGACTGGTATTTGTCACTCCATATGACGGAGAGGTATCTCTGGGCCCACTCGGTAATGCATCATCATAATGAGCTCAGTGTGACCAAGTGTTTGGTCACAGGATCATGCATTACGGTACGAGTAAAGTGACTTGCCGGGAACGAGATTGAACGAGGTATTGGGATACCGACGATCGAATCTCGGGCAAGTAACGTACCGATTGACAAAGGGAATTGAATACGGGATTGATTGAATCCTCGACATCGTGGTTCATCCGATGAGATCATCGTGGAACATGTGGGAGCCAACATGGGTATCCAGATCCCGCTATTGGTTATTGACCGGAGAGTCGTCTTGGTCATGTCTGCGTGTTTCCCGAACCCGTAGGGTCTACACACTTAAGGTTCGGTGACGCTAGGGTTGTAGAGATATTAGTATGCAGTAACCCGAAAGTTGTTCGGAGTCCCGGATGAGATCCCGGACATCACGAGGAGTTCTGGAATGTTTCGGAGGTGAAGATTTATATATAGGAAGTCCAGTTTCGGCCATCGGGAAAGTTTCGGGGTTAATCGGTATTGTACCGGGACCGCCGGAAGGGTTCCGGGGGTCCACCGGGTGGGGCCACCTATCCCGGAGGGCCCCATGGACTGAAGTGGGAGGGGAACCAGCCCCTGGTGGGCTGGTGCGCCCCCCCCATGGGCCTCCCCCTGCGCCTAGGGTTGGAAACCCTAGGGGTGGGGGCGCCCCACCTGACTTGGGGGGCAAGTCCCCCTTGGCCGCCGCCCCCCCTTGGAGATTGGATCTCCTAGGGCCAGCGCCCCCCTAGGGCCCCTTTATATAGTGGGGGGAGGAAGGGCAGCCGCACCCAAGCCCTTGGCGCCTCCCTCTCCCCTCGTAACACCTCTCTCTCTCGTTGGAGCTTGGCGAAGCCCTGCCGAGATCACCGCTGCTTCCACCACCACGCCGTCGTGCTGCTGGATCTCCATCAACCTCCCCTTCCCCTTGCTAGATCAAGAAGGAGGAGACGTCTTCCCAACCGTACATGTGCTGAACGCGGAGGTGCCGTCCTTTCGGCGTTTGGTCATCGGTGATTTAGATCACGACGAGTACGACTCCATCAACCCCGTTCTCTTGAACGCTTCCGCTCGTGATCTACAAGGGTATGTAGATGCACTCCCCTCTCCCTCGTTGCTAGATGACTCCATAGATTGATCTTGGTGATGCGTAGAAAATTTTAAAATTCTGCTACGTTCCCCAACAGTGGCATCATGAGCCAGGTCTATGCGTAGTTTCTATGCACGGGTAGAACACAAATTGTTGTGGGCGTCGATTTTGTCAGATTGCTTGCCGTTACTAGTCTTATCTTGATTCGGCGGCATCGTGGGATGAAGCGGCCCGAACCGACCTTACACGTACGCTTACGTGAGACTGGTTCCACCGACTGACATGCACTAGTTGCATAAGGTGGCTAGCGGGTGTCTATCTCTCCCACTTTAGTCGGATTGGATTCGATGAAAAGGGTCCTTATGAAGGGTAAATAGAAATTGGCATATCACATTGTGGTTTTGGCGTAGGTAAGAAACGTTCTTGCTAGAAACCTATAGCAGCCACGTAAAAAAAAGCTTGCAACAACAATTAGAGGACGTCTAACTTGTTTTTGCAGCATATGCCGTGTGATGTGATATGACCAAAAGGATGTGATGAATGGTATATGTGATGTATGAGATTGATCATGTTCTTGTAATAGGAATCACGACTTGCATGTCGATGAGTATGACAACCGGCAAGAGCCATAGGAGTTGTCTGTTGGGGAACGTAGTAATTTCAAAAAATTTCCTACGCACACGCAAGATCATGGTGATGCATAGCAACGAGAGGGGAGAGTGTGATCTACGTACCCTTGTAGACCGACAGCGGAAGCGTTAGCACAATGCGGTTGATGTAGTCGTACGTCTTCATGGCCCGACCGATCAAGCACCGAAACTACGGCACCTCCGAGTTTTAGCACACGTTTAG